GAGGGAATGTTTAAATTTGACTAATTTCTTTAAATGAGTTAAATTTTAGTTTGATTTTATTCACTGCACCAAAAACGAGTTTATGAATTACATCTCAGATAGCAGTTAATAGAACTTGATTTCTAATAAGAAACTTAAAAATTAACATTGAATCACTCTCTAAAATTAACTTTCAATGTTTTCTAAACACTACTTAGAATGTGTTATTTAATAACAACTTTCTTATTTCATTATTTATGAAAAAGCAATTGACACGTGGAACTACTCTCTGGGTTGATGTTTAAATTATAATTATTGTTTAATTGCTTTCTAAATTTCAAATTTAAATTGAACCCTGGCCTTTTTTAGTCTCCTTACATTTACATCTTCTCACTCTTTTTTTTTTGTACCTTTTCTTGTTATGCTCCACCATCTCTATTGTTCTCCAAATGTGTCTTGCTCATGCCATTAACATGAATGACAACCTATTATAAATTTTAGCTAATTAAAGTCAGTTACATTTATATTTATTTTGGTTTTGTGATTTAGGTATTTCCCCTAATTTAGGGATTTATGAAACTTAGGTTAGTAGACTGGTTTTGTGATAAAATGAATATCCTAAAATTTGCACTTGATTGGAATTTATGTTTTTTTTTTTCCTCTTGACTAGAATTTAGTTAATAAATTAGGTAATTTTTTTTTTGTTTTTGCTATTCCCTAATGTAACATCTTAAATTTAATTTCAATTAAATAAGAATTTTACAAATTTAAACAATCAAATATTCATAAAATACTTCGAAATAAGGGAAGGGTTACAAATTAATATCAAATGACTGCTATAAGACTAGTTCAGTTACAACACTTTCAAAAATAAAAGCTAAGTCCTATAACAATCCATCCGTCCCTTCACTGAGTCCGGTGCTGATCGTCTTGATTACCTGAAAAATAAATGTAAAGGTGAGTACTCTATACTACCCAAAAACACACAGTCAACCTAGAGTCTCACCTCCAGCACGTTTTCAATATATTAAACAAATACAATTATAGGCAATATTTCACATCCATAAGTACAATACACAAACTCCTGCATACGCACACTAGCCACACTCACTGTGGCACTGTGATAATAGATTTTCACCATGAATGGTCACCGGTTACCCCCGCCTCACGGATACCACGTGGGCAGTCACGGGTCGCTCAGTAAGGATAGTGGTCAAAGGTCTAATCAGGAAGAGAGTGTGTGGCCCGTGGTGCACCCGTTTCACAGTCGGTGTCACCACCACTCCCTCTTCTCCAAAGTATTTCTACCGTCTTCATCTTCCACACCCCCAGTGTATCGCTGATCCCTTCACAGCACATTACAACGGTGCTAACACGCCTATTAACATATATTTCATTCACGCATGCAATGATCATACTTACACACGACACACGGCATTAGGCTCACATTCATTTCACATTACACGGCACATAGCCAATATTCATTTATATTACACGATCCTCGGGCCCACATTTGTTCACAATATTTATTCTATCATGCAACATCTAGCATACAATTCACATTCATCCATTTTGGGTAAACACACACAATGTTCACATATCAAAGCACATGGCCCACATTTCATTTCTCAATCAACTCTCATTCTCTACACGTTTTCTACCTTCTAACTCAGTCACATTACATTAATCAACAAAACACACAAGAATTACATCACGTTGAGATAGGTAGAGTCCCCCTTACCTTGGATTGAAGACCCACACTCAGATTCGACCACGGACGTGCTCCCTACACAGATCGCGGCCTCCAAGCGTTCCTCACACGAATTCAACCTTCAATCAAGCTTCCAAATGGCTTTGGAGGCAATTAATCAGTGGAATAGGGCTTTGGGAATGAGAGGACCCAAGGAATTTTGAAGGGAGAGGGAAACATTACTCCCCCGAACCCTAATCCCCTTTAAATTCTTTTCTAGTCGCGACACTCTCGCTACAATGAAAATCTCAAAAGAAATTGCACCTTAGTTTTTGCAGAATCTCGCTACAGTGAGACTGCACTCAGAAATGCACCCTAAACTGTCGCTCTGTCGCTACAGCGAGACGTCTCTCGCTATAGTAAGAAGGCGACAATTTTGATCCTTCCTCCTAGGGCCCTCTCGCTGCAGCGAGAGAATTCTCACTGTACCGAGAACAGCCCAATATCACGCCCTACACTTAGGCACTCAACCCATTTCAGCCCTAACTAGTCATGCATACACACACAAAGATATATATATATATATATATATATATATATATATATAAAACATACATATATGTACATATTCATACTCATCACACAGAACATCATCATCATTACGCATTCAATGAAAAGTTACAACATTCATTTATATTTATACGCACATATATATGCATTTATAGTTATATAAATAATAATAATATCACAAAATTCAGGGTGTTACACCCAATATATGTGTCTGCCCCTAATGTGAAAGTGTTGTATGAGATTGATTTTGTGATAATATTGAATTTTGCACAATATGAAAAATTTAGGTAATTTTACATTTGTTTGATTTAGTTAATAATTTAGGGATTGATTTAGGTATCATATAACATGGAGTCTAATATGTATTACTTAGAGACATTAACTAGAGATGAGACTAATCATGTTGAAGACATTCCAAATATTGTTGAAGAAGATCTTAGATATTATCCAAAGATAATTGTGAGATTGTAAAATGATACAAAAACACCATGGTATAGTGGATGCACAAAATTCATAAGATTATGTGTTGTGTTAAAGCTTTATAACTTAAAACTTCCAATTAATGGAGTAATAAGAGTTTTACAAATTTTCTAAGTTTATTAAATGACATGCTACTATAGAATAATGTGCTTCCTAAGAGAATATATGATGCTAAACAAATATTTACTTTCATTGGATTAACCTATCAGAAGATCTATGTTTGTCCTAACGATTACATTTTGTTTTTAAATAAGTATGCATCATTAAGAGAATGTCCAACGTGTAATGTGTCATGATACCTAAAGAAAGAATCTACTCCAGCAAAAGTGGTATGATATTTTTTAATAATATCAAGATTAAGACGTTCGTTTCGCAGTGTAGAAAATGCAAAGCATTTGACATGGCATGCTGAAGGCAAGGTTAGAGATAGGAAGTTTAGGCATCTAACAAATTTTCCCCAATAGAAAAAAAAATTGACGATAAAGAATTTGCAGTAGAAACAAGAATTGTATGTTTTTACTTTGACAATCAATGATATGAATCCCTATGAGATGCAAAGTAACACCCATAATACATAGCCTGCGATATTAATAATTTATAAATTAGTTCATAGCTTTGCATAAAGAAAAAATATATGATTCTCTCTTTGTTGATTTTTTATCCTAAGCAACCTAAAAATGACATTGATGTGTACTTTTCTCCTTTAATTGAATATTTGAAGTTGTTGTGGGAAACTATTGTAGAAGTATATGATGAGTTCAAGGAATCTTTCACACTATAGACAATGGTATATGATACAATTAATGATTTTTCAATATATGATAATCTATTCGAGTAGCATAAAGGGATAATGTGCATGTCTAATATTTTGTAAAAAATATACTATATTAGACTCATACATTAACATAATAATGTTTTCTTAAGGTATCATAAATGGTTGCAACATAATCATCCTTTCACCCTAAAGTAATGAGAATGAGATTCAAATATCAAAATTACAAATAATGTCTGTCTAGTTTCATTGTACCTACACTATGATCATCTTAATACTTCTTATAAGCATCTTCATTCGGTGGTTTAAAATTGACTATTTTAGTACATACAACTTTTTCTTATGCTTGAGGATGATCCTCAAATTTTTATACACCAATCTAAAAAATTTGTTTAAGACAATTTGTCTTTCATAAGGTAATCGTAATGACAAGTTAATATTCATGTTTATTATTATAGTTATTCATGAACAAAAATAAATATGCTTATAAGTATCAAAATATTAAATAAGGTCTTTTAATTACATATCTTCCAATATTAGTTGATTTAAAACAACAACTTTAAGTGAATCAACAGATGAAAAAAAAATCATTGTTATATTTTATAGTAGGTCAAGATTCATATTTCACATATTCTTAAGTTAGTTTTAACCGATCACTTAATATTAAGTTATTTAGGTAGGGAACACTTTCCAATTGTACCACGTACAACTCTTAGATAGTTAAGCAAATAACACGATAACTCTTAGATAATTAAGCAAATAACATTAATTATAAATTATCTTATGAAATTATCTAACTTATTGCCTTTAGGTTTTCAATCCAATTAAACATGACCTAGTTAAGTCATAATCCAAAGTTGACATTTAGATATTACTTTTATTTCATCACACCTATTAGCATAAATAAATACATATTATTTTGTTAGATATACATTAAGTCAATACTAGCCTTGAAAGGTGTTAATTCATTAGAAAGCATCAACTTAATATTTGTTTTAATGGTCTTTAAACCTTTGATATTTCCCAAGTTAAACAATTTAATGCAATAAGTATACATGCATCTCATACATAAGTGTGATATGATTATAAGCCACCAAAACTTATAAAATAAGTCTTTTTCTTTTATCCTTTCCATATAGAAATTTTCTTAAGAGTCGTTGCATGCATGCGTCATACATTTACAAAATTTAATAAAAAAGGTTCTTTTACATTGGGGGCAGAAAGGTGAGAAAAGAAGTACAACCAAAATGTGATAAATAAGGCATGTCGCAAGTCATGTTAAAAATCAAAATAAATCACAACACATATGCTGTGTTTAAACCAAACTAAACTCATGGGTGTAATTGTTTACTATGCTAAAGAAGTGCTCGTATTTAAAACACGTGTCTGTAGTTGTAATAGCACCATTTTTATACTAATTGTATTTTCTAGTATGGTTTGATATAATTATTCATCACAAAACCATGAAAACTGGAATCCCAACCACAATATGAAACCACTATTAGTCTATCACTTGTGGTTCTGCCTAAGACGCCATTTTGTTCTGCCTCGAACCAATTCTGCTTTATTATCTTGCAGACGAAGTAGGTGTGTGTATTGCAAGTCATGTTTTCTCTCAACAGAGCTATTATTAGAATCACTTATCACGTTGCATGATGGACTAGTCATAGATTCTAACACGCTTGATTGTGTACATTCACGCCTAAACTCCAAAGTCATGCTTGTGATATCATAATCATCTAACACTTCTCTTGGCACACTCTGCACCAAGCAAATCAAGATGAAAACTGATTAGTTGTTAAAGGGAAATTTAGTCACCAGATTCTATAACATTGCACATATTGTTTTTAGTCCTTTTGAGAGATCAAACATAACTATTGTTTAACCAAATTTAGCTATCACTGCCATGTTTTTGGCTTGCATATTCTTTTTGTCATAACTTGATACTTGTTTTGTTAAATATGATAATTAATAAATACCTCCAAAATCCATGAAATATATTTCACATTGTTAACATGCTGGTTAGCATCCATGTCATTCCTCCCTGTCTAGATTGCATACAATTAAAAAAACAGTTTAATACAATGATATAAATGATTATCCAAGGGATTACGTGTGCATTTGTTTTAGTTAATTGTGTAAAAATAATCGCTTGTTTAAGAGAATTTAAATAAAATAAATAATAAATTCTCAAAACAAGTTGAATTAAAAATGAGCTAAATTTTAAAACTCTTACGAATCAAATGAAGTATAAATAAAGGGAAAGGGTCATTATTAAGTTTATCATCTTGTGTATCAAACTTACTGTCATCCCAGATCGAATTGTCTCAGCAGTATCATCAGTGAGCTTGTGTATCTTCTGACAATCTATTTCTTCACTAGAAATGGCATGTCTATCATAGCGGAAAGGAAAAAGCTCTTGTTTAACTGATTCAGGTAACTTTGATAATCTTCTTGTTTCTTTGTTCATCATTGCCCATGTGCTACATGAAGAAATTTGTTTCAATCATATAAACAGGGGAATACATAATGTAAAAATTAATAATTATGAAAAGGATTAAAAATTTCACCTTGTTGCTCTTGCTATAATCTCTTTGGTGCAATGATCCCTGATTATCGAATCTCTTCTCATTCCATTTTTTCCAACAAAATGAAACCATGTATCAACATCAATTTTGTCTCCCCTATTATTTTGAATGCATTTTAATAAATCAATCAACAAGTTCTTTAAAATATAAACTGTGATAGTTGCTTTAAAGTAATTAGTATAAGGCAGGCAAGGGGACTTAGCAGAACATTTATTTGGCTATTTACCATTTGCTATATTTTTGTACTTGAATTTGAATACGATTAGCAACCCAAATCAGCGTGTGACGGTCCATCTCCCGAGTAGTTGCAAAATTGTTCCCACTTACTCCATAGCTAGTGACATTGTTTATAGCAGTTTCCTAAACCATTTTATATATGTAAGTCATAAAAAATAATTTACATTCTTCTGGTAAAGCATTCATACTCCATTTATAAGTGACACAGGATATGTTTGTGTAATAACTTAATTAAGCATATATTTAATAAGTTTTTATTACACAAAGTTTATTCCTTAAATTTTATCATGAAACTTACTGTTATAACATGAAAAAAGCTTATGAAAGTCAAAAAGCTAGTTTTATAAACTTTTCTATAAAAACAACTTTAAACTATTGCTTTCCTTCTAAATACAACCCTTACTCCTAAATCCTAAACAATATTATGATCAATATAAATTACATGATCTATAATTGTTAAGATTGTGTTAAAAACACTTGTGCTTATATATGCGTTTTGAATTTAGTAAAATATTTAGGATGAGATTGAATCGTATTTTGTGCATAGATAGAAATTACGGACATGAAATATTCAAGGAATGAATTTTATACAAAGATTGTTAAACTAACCTGGAGAAAATTCATGAGTGCATATATGGTGACAGTTTTATCGGGGCCGATTTCATAAGACCTGACTATAAAACTCTGCCTATATACAAACTTGTCTTCCACAAACACTCCAAGTAAAAAGGGATCAAAGGTTGTTTGTGTTGTGCTTTCATTTGCCAATTTGATAGCTGTATGTGGAATCAATGCCATGTGTTCCCTTCCGTTGATTGTACTCACTCCCCAAGGGCTACAATCAAAACTTGCCCTCACCAACAATGAAAATCTTCGTTTATTGTTCAATATGTAAGTGTTGCATGAAGATTTGTGGCTAATCTCTGAAAATTCCCCTGCCTTGTTGTCTACGATTTTCGTTTTGGCATTGCAAAAATTCCCTCGAAATTGTAACCCAATGTTGCTAAGTGCTAAGACTGGCGTCATAGCTAGCTATCGAGGAGCGAAAAATAAAGAAGAATATTGAAGGCTTAGATGAACTTAACAAGTTTAGTAAAGTTAATGTGTTTCTTCTAGGCATGCTTCTAATTATTTATATAGTTACGTAATGGACTATGTCTAGCAATGAATTTTGTGTCGTTGGTTTGTTTGGTTTGGTAGAAGGGAAGTAGGGATGCATGAAAGCATGCAAAAGGGCATTTAATTTCTAATTTTAATTACTTAAATTTTGAATTTTTTTTTAATTTACTCTTCGATTTAAAATTTATTTTATTTATATAATATAATATTGTGTTTGTGGATTATTATTTTAAGATTTTGATAATGACAAATACACGTACGTTTGGTAAACAATAAAAAATGGGAAAAAATGAAAATATATTAGCCTCATTGTCAATTTATGAGTATTTATTCATAAAACATGACCTAATTCATTAGGAAATTTAGCCTCATCAATTAGTGAGCTTCTATTTAACTTGGTAGGATTTGCCTAATTGATTAGATGTATTTAACTTAATATCAAAAGGTGATGAGTTATTTAGATAAAGGAAAGAAGGAAAAATGAGGGATATTTGTGAATGTTTCCTACATAAAAAAAAAAATTAAAAAAATCCTTTTAGTCTGGGAGGATATGAGAAGGAAGAGGACTTGTGTGTGTGTTTGTTTTTTTTTTTTTTTGTGAATTAAATTATTAAATAATTTTTATATAATATAAAAAATGAAAATATATTTTTAATAGGAAAATTTTTATAATAAAAATTACTTTACTGTTTTTTTTTAATTTTTTAAATTTTACTCTTCAATTTAAAATTTATTTATAGAGCATAATATTGTGTATTTGTTGATTATTATTTTAAGATTTTGATAACGCCAAATATACATATTTGTAAATAATAAAGAATAAAAATAATTGAAAATACATCAGCCTAATTATCTCTTTATGAGTACTTGTTTACAAAATATGGCCTAATTTAACTTGGCAGCATTTGCCTAATTGATTAGATGTATCTAACTTAATAACAAGAGGTGCTGAATGATTTGGAGAAGGAAGGAAAATGAAGGATATTTGTGAAAGGTTGCTTAAAATATAAATTCTCTTAATTTGAAAGAGGGAAATAAATTGACTTTTTTCTAAAATAGATTTTGTTAACTAAAATTTAAATAATATTGATATAATATAAAAAACGAAAAAATATTTTTTAATAGGAAAAAATTTATATAAAAAATATTTGACTAATCAACTTTAGTCATTTTTATAATTATTTGTAATACAAGTTAATTTTTTTTTCTCTTTTTTATTTGTTTATTATTATTATTATTACTATTATTATTATTATTATTATTATTATTATTATTTCTTCTATTTCAGCTCATCCAAACGATACATTTTTTTATTTTCTTTCTTTTTTATTTTCCATTTTTCATATTATTTTTTTTATTTCATCCTCGTCAAAACACACTCTAAACAAGATTATTTAAAAAATAAATAAATAATATTGAATAATTATAAATATATGTGATTGCCTAGTTATTAAATTAGTTGAGTTAATAGCAAATAGCATACATAATATTCTTAACCGGCAACTTTAATCCTATATAATAAATAATTAAAAAAAAGTCATAAACGATTAGGAATCACATCTAATCGTATATTTTTGTATTAGATCACTTATGTTTTTCAAAAAACATTCCAAAATAGTTTATTTGATTTTTTTTTTCTTGTTGATTTTGTAAAAAAAGTGTGGAGTCATTTTTATTGTAGTAATATATTTATTCAGTTTTAGAAAGCAACATTTTTCATAACACAATATTATTATTTTTTTGAAAATTAAATTTGAAATGTTTCACACTTAATTGACCGCTTCTTCTTTTAAGTTTTGAAGTCAATTAGTAACTAATAAGTCAATATTTTAAAGTGTTTTTGTAGGTTATTTTTACACATTTATCCTTTATTTAATAGGAATTTTACATGATTTACTCATTAGTTATTGCAGTTTGGCATGAATCAATCGCTAACAAATTACAGAAATATTTTGGTTGCGATTAAAAGAATTTTGATAAAAAGTAGGGTCACCTCCAGTAAGAAGCATAATCTTGCTTAACAACGAATTACTTTCTGACCATGTGCAGTAGTGTTTATGGGCATGCACAACTATGCATATTCCTTGGTGTAACTAATATGGAGATTTTCTAAGGATAGGTAACTCTATTTAAAGACAATCAAGAATCGAGACCTGCAACTTGGAAACACTTTTTTCTCGTCAACTTTTGATGATTTTTTGAACTGTTTGAGAGTGAAAATCATCGGTTAAGAAGTAAGGTATCTTTCCAAAGTCTGAGCAAGTGGTCAAGAATGCTTTTTGGAGACAAGAACTCTGCCCATTTTTTTTTTCTTGAGATTCTTTTAGTTTGAGTTTGTATTTGTCAGGTGGATCGCCATCAAGTAGGTCCACGTTGATTTTGTAAAAAGAAAAAAAAAAAGTGTGTTATAGGAAGTTACAGATGATAGAAAAATAACCTAGTAGAATTATGAGAGAGTGAGAACGACAGAAAAAATAGAAGTCGTCTTAAGAAAAAGACGAAAGATAGCAGCGAAGAAAAGTAATGATTGGTTGGTTTGCATAATATGTGCATTGAAACCCTAGTATTGCTGTAATTTCCATTTTTGTTGCTATAGCTGAATACCCATTGAGGGTTTATTGTGTTGTTATCACTTTAGTGATGAAGTTTGTATTTTGTGTTGATATCTAGTGGTTCCAAGAAGACTTGTGGTGTACCCATTAAATTTATTAGTAGAGAATTTTGCTGGACTAGGTCCCGTATGTTTTTATCTTTCATTCATTCAGGGTTTTTCTACGTTAATAATTTTGGTCTTGTTGTTTAATTTCTCTATTTTGTGTTTACTATCAATTGTCTAAAAACTGTGTAGGGCCAATTTTAATAGCACAATGGGAAAAAAGAGATCATGTTTGCTTCTGTGTGTTCCTGTTATATTTGATATCTTTCCCAACACTATTTTGAATGAATATGGTTTTCTTTACAATTGTTTTCTTTGTTTATTTCATTGAGTAGTTAAATCTATGGTTAGGGTTATGATGAACTCTTTGTCTGCTTTATGTGATATTTATATTTAATGACAATTGCAGTTTCCTTTTCACATTAGTTTTGCTTCAGCATGTTTATATCTATATGTTTAAAGTCAATCACTATTAACATATCATAATTGATTGCATTGTATGCGACCACATATAATTAATGGAAGTATAGGATAAAATAGAATAAACAATTCAGTGGACTAAACTTATTTTTTTGTCTTTCAATCAGTTATTAAATTAATAAACTCATAGGTTCTTTATGTTTTCTCTCTTTTTACTTTGCATGACCATTATGGGTAATAATTTAGGGAGAATAATACTTACATTGCATGACCGTTAGTTGTTAATAATTTTAGTATGAATGATTGACAGTTATAAAAAAATTAGTATTGAGGCTAAACTAAAATTTACACATGAAGAGGTGTAAAGGTCAAAACAAAAACTTTAAATTCATCTTGAATAGTTTCGTGTTAATAGTTGTGCTATCTCTTTTTCATTTGATTACTTTTATTAATTTAAGTCTTTTATAAATTTCATTTATACACTGTTTAAGTTTAAACAATTAAATTACAATAATTTTAGTAATTGGAAATAATTTCTATGGAATGATACTTTAGGAATTTGATTTGAGAATTTCTGTATTGATACACTTACCCACGAACAATAACAACTTTAAAAAATTTCTCAAATAACGACATTTTTATAAATTTGTTCTCTTTCTAATCATTTTAAATTATTTTTTAATTTAATATGTTACATTTTATTTTTTTTAATTTACTGTTTAATTTAAAATTTATCTATTAATTTAATCTAATTTAATACAATATTTATCAACTTCTATAATAAATGATAGTGTTTAAGAGCTTCATCACGTGAAAGTAGTTTTAAGAAGAAATAATTTCTTTTATTATTTTATTTCTAAAGAAGAAGAAAATTTATTTATTAAAAATACTAATCAATATTACAAAAATAAAAATTTATTTTAAGTTTAATTTCATTATTCATAATAAATACTAATCAATATTATTCATACAATTTATACTAATTAATATTATTTATATAACAATCAATGATAATATAAATTATACATCTGTATTGTAAAATATTGTGTTAGTAAAATTAAAAATAATTTTAAATAATTAAAAATTCAGTTATTTTGATGATTAAATAAAAAATATGATTTGATCATAATAAATAATTTTGTTACATATGACCTAAATTAATTTGGCTACACATAGGCTCTTATAACTTTTTATATAAAAAATGCTACATGCTAGCGCTATAATATTATTGTATTAACAAGGTAAAATGATTTTAATTTAATTAATAAATTATCCGTTTGATTAATTCAAAAGAGAAATGTTTAAAAAACAAAATAAAATATATATTTTCATTAATTAATAAAATAATAATTTAATTAATTAGAAATAAAATAAAATTTAATTACACAAATTTTGAATATTTATAATATATAAAGATAAAACATTAAATTTAGTTCGAAGTTTCTTAGAAAGTGAAGTCCAAAGCTTAAATCAAAATAATTTAGCTTTTTAGTTAGGAGAGAGTTGAAAAACAAAATTGAGCAAATATTTTTAATATTTTTTTCTCTTATCACTATTTTCATCATAACTATTTTAAAACTTCTCTCATATATATGAATAGTTAAAAACAAAGAACTTTAGTGTCATCTGATTACTTAAAAAAGTTTTAACCTTTTAAAATTTTTAATAATTTTTACGTTTGCACCTTAACAATTTATAAAAAAATTCATTATTTAATATTGAATAGCATTACTGTCCAAGTTTAACGCTTAATATCAATAAATTTTAAATAATTTAAAAAAATTAAAGAGTGAACAAAAGTAAGAATAAAAATTAGTGAGATGTTGGGCTCATAGATGCTTACAGTTTAGTATATATCTATCATGATTTGTAATGGCACTGTTTGTACCGATTGTATTTTTTAGGGATTATTTATCAGTATAATTTTTGGTTGCAAATTCATGGCAACCAAAATCACAACCACTATTACTGTATCACTTTTGCTTTTGCTTAAGATGCCATTCTGTTTTGGCTCGGACCAATTCTGTTTTATCATCTTGCAGACGAAGTAGGTGTGTGTATTGCAGGTCAATTTTTCTCCCAACAGAGTCATGGTTGGAAGCATCTGTAACGGTGCATGGTGGACTAGTCATAGATTCTAACACATTTGATTGCGTACATTCACGTCGAAACTCCAGCTTCATGCTTGTCATATTGTAATCAACTAACACTTCTCTTGGCACACTCTACACCAACCAAATCAACATGACAAATGACTAGTTGTTAAAGGATACCTTATCCATCACCTATTCTATAACATTTTGCACATTTTTTATCAGTGCCTTAGGAGATCAAACATAATCAATTTGCTAACTTTATTAATAATTACCTCCAAAATCCACCCAATATATTTCACATTGTTAACATGCTGGTTAACGTCCATGTCAGTCCATCTTGGCTGGATACACACAATTCAAAAACCAGTTAATACAATGATATAAAGAACAGTCTAAAGGGATTAGACACATTTGTTTTATCTTATTGTGTAAAAGTATTTACTTATTTAAGGAAATTTCTATGAAGCTTATAATTCTGTGTATCAAACTTACAGTCATCCCAGATCGAACTCTATCAGTAGTATCATCAGTGAGTTTGTGTATCTTCTGACAATCTTTTTCTTCACTAGCAATGGCAAGCCTATCACAGTGGAGAGGAACGATCTCTTGTTTAACTTCTTCAGGTATCTTAGATAATCTTCTTGTTTCTCTATTCATAATCGCCCATGTGCTACATTAAGAAATTTTCAAACATATAATTAGGATAATGCATAATTTAAGAGTCAATAATTATGAAAAGGACTAAAACTGCACCTCGTTGCTCTGGCTATAATCTCTTTAGTGCAATGATCCCTGATTATCCAATCTCTTCGCATTCCATTTTTTCCAGCAGCATCAAACCAAGTATCAACTTCAATTTCATCTCCCCTATGTTTTTTTTTATACATACATTTTAATCAGTCAATAGAAATACTTTATTTCTAGTCATTATAGAGCAACCAAGCTCGCAAGGGGAGTACTTAGAAGTAGAACATTTATTTGGCTATTTACCATTTGCTATATCTCTGTACTTGAACTTGAATACGAGTAGCAACCCAAATCAATTTGCGAAGGTCCATCTCGCGAGTAGTTCCAAAATCGTTCCCACTTACTCCAAAGCTAGAGACTTGATTTAGAGCAGTTTCCTAAACCATTTTATATGTAAGTCATAAAAAAATAATTTACATTCCTCTGATTCATTCATCCTTTGTTTATAAGTTATTTAACCTATTAGATTCCTCCAAGGTACAAGCTTAGCAATGATATTATGATCCACTTCTGTGCGTAGATCGAAAATTAAGGATATAATATATTTAGAAGATCAATTCTACAGAAGGATTGTTAAACTAACCTGGAGAAAATTCATGAGTGTCTCAATAGTGACAGTTTTATCTGGTCCAATTTCATAAGACCTGACCACAAAATTCTGCCTATACACAAACTTATCCTCCACGAACATTCCACGCAAGAAGCCATCAAGGGCTGTTTGTGCGGTGCTTTCGTTTGCCAATTTGCTTGGCGTAAAAGGGGCCAACGACGCGTGTTTCATTCCATCAACTGTATCCAATCCCCAGAAGCTACCATCAAAACACGCACTCACCAACAATGAAGACCTTCGTTTATCATTGTTCAATATACAAGAATTGAATGAAGAATTGAAGCTTAGTTTCAAAATCTCCCCTGCCTTCTCTACGATTTTCATTTTGGTATTGCAAATATTTCCTCGAAATTGTAGCCCAATGTTGCTAGGCGCTGATATTGAATTCATAGTTATCTAACAAGGATCACAAATAAAGGAGAGAATTGAAGGCACATAAACTAGGCACGGTTTTAGTTTATATATAGTTGGTTACGTAACAGACTCTGCTTAAAGATTGAGTTTGTTGACTAAATAAGATTGTTCCAAAGATGAAGGAAAACTCGTTGAATAAACACGAAAGCGTTTGGTTGATGTCGTTTATCACGTCTGATTTTATTTCTTTTTGTCCTTTAAATATTTATTAATTATAATAAATTTATCCCGGGAGCTCGTGGACCACATGTTTCGGTTGCTGTTTGTGAATAACATTTTATAGTAACAAGCCAAAAACCGAAAACAAATCTTGTTATTAGGAGTTAAAGCTTATTTAACGTGTATTCACAACTATCTTGGAGGAATGCTCGAGGATTGGGTATAGACACGTGATGTATTTTCCAGACACCTGATGTGTTTTTCAGATTCCTTACACTTGTTAATATGATTTGAGAGGGTGTCCAGCATTCTCATGTCCATGCAATTGAAATATTCCATATTAGAAGCTTTTTAAGAAAAAAATGGAGATACTTGAATTCTCTAAGAGAGAAATAGTTGTGCTGATGTCTTTATTAAGATGAGATTGTTGAGAAATAGGAATCAAGGGGGGGAGGATTTGTAGCTTTTAGGTTATCAAATATTCAAGTGAAAAATTTAAGTTGTGAGAATCAATTAACAACAAGATGTATTAACCCTTAGTTCATTCATACTAGTTCAATCATAAATCCACTGAAAATTAGTAACTCATCCTTTCCTAGAGTTTAATTAATTAGAACAAACGTCAATTAACCATAAACTTTCATGCAAGATTAAACAAATTACATAAGCTCTAATTTTTTATCCTTAGAATTAAGCAAACTTAGGACCCAATCTAGGAATAAGAAAAATGAGTTTTAAAACTCTTATTAAGAAAGAAATTTAGATTAATTAAGCAACAATCTCCATTCAATTACTAACTCAATTCTCAAGAAAATATAAAAAATATTTAGTGTATTTTTATTTAATTTTCTATAGTCTATGTCTCTACACGTTATTGCTAGTTCAAATAAGAGTTTAAGGAAGGAGTATTCGTATTAATACTTGATTATAATTTCTCATAGGATCGATTTGAGCTATATTAAGTTAAAATAATTAGTACACTTGCCATCATCATTTATCTTTGTGAACATACTATATAAAATAGAAGCATCGCATCTACTAGGTGTCATTCTAAGAAACAAAAAAATCTATCCTAGTATTACTATTAAAATTGTAAAAGTTTCTAAGATAAAATTATATTCAACAACAAAACAAAAAAAGAAAGTGGTGACTAAGATAATGATAAAAAAGAAGAATTAGAAGATAAAAACATGTTGGAGGAAACAAAAGATGAATTGGATATTAATCTTTTAGAAGTTAAGGAAGAAAAAGAAGAAGGATAAGCCTTAGTAGATGAAAACGATGACTATATTGAAGGTTGAAAAGTAAAATCAGATAATTAATCTTATATATTTATATTATTTTTAATCATTTGATTTTTTAACTTGGCATTTCATAACTTTTTATTTTATATTGAATTTAGATTTATGTTACAAAAGTTGTATTAATCAATGCTTTTATTTCATTTTCTATGACTTATATTGTTATGTTTTATTATAATTGTCAAGACTCACCTTCTATCATTGATATTAGGAGGTTAATAGGGTAGGGCTTAGGGTTTTAACCCATTTTGACAGCTCTAATTGATAACATTGATACCTCAGTTAAAGAAGTTAAAATATATTTTTTTATTTTTATAATTTTGATTTCTATCATTGTTATATAATTGAATTTTGCATAATTCTTTCACTGTAATATACTCTATGCTCTGTTACTAATCTTGATTGATATGTATTTTGTTTATAAATATATTTACTTTAGTATAATGCAACACTAGTTATTTTACAAGGGACTATAGGAATCCATTTGTATTTGAACTCGTACCATTATTGTATTAAAGGTCTTACAATTAACCTTACATTAAATAATCAATTTTTTTAAATAATAAAATTAGAATAGATGTGTTGCTGGTAATATATAAAGTTTGTAGAGAAGAAGAACTATAGAACATTAAATTAGTTGTGGCACACTAGCTTTTACACTATTAAAAGCAAATTCTTATTCAAATTTTTAGCATTAGTTAATAAGAAAGGCTTATTTGCTTGTCAAATATTATCCTTCATTAATTCTTTTATGTTTTCGTTGCTCAGAAAATATATACCTTTGGCACATACTTGAAACTTTTAATGCATTAAATTTAATTTCATATTTTGTTTTTCTGTATATGGAGAAAAAGAATACAATATATAAAGAATTAAGATGAAACCAAGGGGTAGATCCGGTGGCTCAGATTACCTTTTGTGTCTCTCCCTAATGGAGGAAATGATCTCATTTTCTTCGAGTATAATAAAAGTGATAAGCCTTTATCTTAAATTATTTTTATAAGTTTAGTATACCTCTCAAAATTGCAACCTTCAAAAAAGTGTATATGTTTTACAAATTATAAATCTTTAATTCTTTATTCTAACCACTAAAAGATAAAAGTATTCAAACTAAGTTTGTTGTTAACTATTGGCTTAACCCTTCATGATTGGCGCCACATGTTAGTTCTTGACATGATTATGTTTGTAAAGTGAGATTCCATAGTAGGAGCCAAAAAATTTAGTTACAATATGTCCAAAGTTGTGAAAAATTGTGTACCTTTAAGGCCTTGATAATATACAAATATGAGAATTTAGTTGTAAAAGTTAATTATTTTGTTGGAAAAATTACAATGGCATTCCAGAATCCAGATCCTTAAATGCTTCTCTCAGGTCAATACTCTTGTATCTTGTCCACTAAGAAATATCGAAAGAAGTTTACAATACGAAGATGCTTAGTCTACTGTGATAATCTTTAGGCTTTTTTTTTTTTTTTACTTTGGCTAGTATTCAATTTGGTGAAAACGGCTTGTATTTTTTACTTCAAGATTTCACAAGATTCCAATATATAGTGTCAATGACACTTCTTCTGAGTGTAATAATTACTCTTCATATATTAAGACTATTGAAAATTGGCATCTCTTCTTTTAAGATTAAGAGCCATGTACCAATTTCATAGAATTATCTTGCATAGGAACTACTTAATTTGAGCAACACATCAATTCTCATCTTTTAATTTATTTTGTTTGATTTTTGAAATATGAATAGTTATTTTCAGTAATATGTATTAAGCCAAAACCACTCTTCAGTTCAATTTAAATGAAACAAGAAAACTCTTTAAATTGAATGAATCTAAACAATATTGCATTGTGAATGAAAGATGGTAAATCTTCATTTAATTGAATCTATTCTAACTTTTTATTTTAAACAAAACAAGCAAAATAACTCTTCATGTTTTAAAAATATCTCACATTTTATTCTTGTGAAGACAATGAAAATCATAGAGTCCATTTTGAGATTATATCAAATCGAGTTTAGAGACTTAATGTCATGTTCATTTTAGAATTAAATTTCGAATATATTGCTTGATAAAAAAATTATTTTGTGCTAGTAAAGCTATTTAATAAAACATAAGGTAAATATTTGATCCTACCTCAAGTACAAGAAATTTGCAACAACAAAAAAAAATCTTGTGAAAAAATAGAAAAAAAAAAAGTAAAAAACTAGAACTAAAGATTGTTTAAAGAAAAACAAAACAAAACAAGTTCACAAGTTTTTAATAAAAAAAAAATAACCTCAACTAATATTTTAGCCTAACAATTATTATAAAATATTATTTTCTTGTAATAATCATGTAATGTCACTTGATATGATATATAGGACTAACAAAATGTGTTACTCAAGTTCATTCATGTTAGTCCATAGCAGGTCAGACTAAAATATCATGAATCTAATTTAGACTCACAAAAATAGTATTTAAAATGTGTAAAATTTAATTTTTTTTGTAAATTTTTATGAATTAAACTCACGTGAGACTTGATTGAATCCGGTTAAAGGGACCCAAATTTATCATATAGGTTCAAACTAGTTTAGTTGGACTGACCCATTTTACCAAACACTAATGACATGTACCGTATTTTTTTAATCTTAATTAATGTTTTAAGCCATCTTAATTATCTAAAATTCACAATCTATTTGTCTTAAAATATTATGACAAATTTTCCATGCCTAGAAAATTTTGTCTTTTATTTTTTTTCATTTAGTGTTTTTTTTTTATCAACCATTTTGTAAACATTGAAATTTATTATAGCATGACAGCCTTCATTCATGCTTGGCTTGAAAAAATGTGTCTTGAGCATTTTATTTACAGATCATTTAAAATTAGCAAAAATTTAATTACACCATATTTAATATTTTTTATGTTCATTTTCAATTAAAATTAGAGTTTTCCTTCATTAATCCATAAAAACATTAAATATAATTTTATACTAAAGTGAACTATAATTTTAACTAAAAAAACAACGTTATCTAAAAAAAGATACTCAAATTTTATTCTATATCATAACCGTCTTCAATTCACAACTAACTATTTTAGCAGTAAAAAAGATTGAAGAATGTTGAACTCCACATGAAAGTATGAATATTAGCAATCCGATGTATGCGTTTATTTGTACGTGTTTATGATCGTATGTTGTTAACAAAACTTCATTTGCACTAAATTTGTCAATACTAGTTGACATCACAGTTAAATTGTACATAGGGGTAATGGCTTAAATTATTGATAGCAAGAAGCTGAACAAAATGAACTAAACATGTTGTAATATTAGTATTTGGTCCAAGGATGCTTCCATGGTACATGTATCTCGTGATTTGTTTGCAATTATTGATAACTTCTATATCACAATGCAATGGTAATTGAAATCACAACCAGAGTTCAAAATCATGATAACCGTATCACTTATCTTTTTTGCTTCAGATTCCATTCCGTTCTAGCTCGAACCAACTCTGCTTTATTATCTTGAAGACGAAGCAAGTGCGTATATTGCAAGCCTGGTTTTCTGTTGACAGAGTTATTATCAGAGGCACCAATCACACTAGATGATGGATTACTCATAGATTCTAACACATTTGATTGTGTACATTCACGTCGAAACTCTATAGTCATGCTTGTCATATTATAATTATCTAGCACTTCTCTTGGCATGCTCTGCGTCAAAGCAAATTAACATATCAAATGGTTAATTCTTCATATTAGGAAGCTTCTTCATCACCAAATTATGTAACATTGCACAATTTTTTCATGGGTGAGTCTATGCTGAGATCAAACATAGTCAATCCACTAATTATGTTACCAGTAAAAAAGAGAAGTGTAGCTATCTATCATTTTCACGTTTCTAGCTTGCATTGTCTTGTCTTAGCTTGCAATTGTTTATTTTATATTTTTTGTAATATGATTGGTCCGTACCTCTAAAATCCATCCAATGTATTTCACATTGTTAACATGCTCATTAACATCCATGTCGTTCCACTTTGGCTGAATTGCAAGCAATTAGAAAGGCAATCAATACAACGATGTAAATGATAATCCAAAGGTGGGACTAAAATTTTATAATCCTTTCAAGTGAAGTGTTAATAGAAGGAAAGGGGATTATTATTGAGCCTAAAAAATTGTGTATCAAACTTACAGCAATTCCAGATCGAAATGTTTTGGTAATGTCATCGGTGAGCTTGTGTATCTTTTGATGATCTATTTCTTCGGTAGGAATGGAAATCCTATTAAAATAGAAAGGAGCAAGTTCTTGTCTAACTTCTTCAGGTATCTTGGATAATCTTCTTGTTTCTCTATTCATGATTGTCCATGTGCTACATCAAGAAAGTATCAAACATATAAAGTGGGACAAATGCCGTGTGATTAAAAACTTACTATGAAAAGGATGATTTATTGCACCTGGTTGCTTTTGCTATCATCTCTTTGGTATAATGATCCCTAATTATCCAGTCTCTTCGGATTGCACTCTTTCCGGCAGCATCAAACCAAGTATCAACCTCAACTTCATCCCCCCTGTCACATTTATCTAAGATCAATGTATTAATCCTTAGAAATGCAAATCATATTATGTGTTTTGTACAATTGCTTTAAAAGCAGCTTATGCTAGTAGGGGCAATAAGAGGTTATAAGCATCATGTGTATTTACCATTTGCTATATCTCTTGACCTGAATTTGAATACGAGTAACAACCCAAATGAGTTTGCGAAGGTCCATCTCATGAGTAATTCCAAAATCGTTCTTACTTAGCCCACAACTAGAGACCTGATTTAAAGCAGTTTCCTGAACCATTTTATAGGCAAGTCATCAATATCTTTCACTTCCTCAATTCATTAAGATTCTATCTATCAAGTGTTTCATAATATTATGCCTTCGTGAAAGTGTAGCGATGATGTTATTGTCATGAATTACACTGATTTTGAGCACTTATATTTTGAAATCACAATTTTTCACACTACTACACCTTTAGTATAAAATGAGAGAAACTCAAATTTGAATTTCCCCCTCTCCCTCTCTTTATCATAAAAGGAGAGGGTTAAAGCATGATATATAAAAAAAGTATCTGTGATACATATATGAGACTTTCAAGATGTCCTATAAGCTAACTTATTTATTATGTATTTTTTTTAATAAATAAAATGTCCAAGGGGAATGCATTATAAATTTGTGAATGATAAATGTTATTAATGAACATTTTTAAATATACTATTGAATACCTTTTTTGTGATCGGTCTATTTCTAAAATAGTGATAGATTTTTTAAGCCTTTAATACTTTCAAACAATAACACAACTATAAAAAATATATATATATGAAAGAGTATTGCTAATGACAATTTTATTTTTTTTGTGCATTTTTACTAGGTATTTAACATTCAATGGTCTTAGACGAAAAAATCATCAAGCCATGGTGTTTATTAGTGAAAAATGAACAATTACAGCATTGAAGTTAAATTTAGGGACAAAACTTAAGTGCAGTTTTTTAAGGTGTAGTTGATGTTGTTTATCAATAAAATTTAAAGTTTTATTTTGGTAATATGCAATAGCATTAAATATAAATATTTTAATTTATGAATAACCCTAACAATACTTCTTAAAAAGACATTATATAATTTTTGTCTTAAATTTAATTGAATAATGCTAAACTGTTGTAAAATGCAAGATATATATATATATATATGCATATTTTTTTGTGCGTGGAGTTACAACGTATTCAGCCGTAAGTTTATTGATGTAAGAATTGCTGAGCTAACCTGAAGAAAATTCATGAGTGTCTCCATAGTGACAGTTTTATCTGATCCAATTTGGTAAGACCTGACAACAAAAATTTGCCTATATACAAACCTGTCCTCCACAAACATTCCACGCAAGAAGGTAACAGAGGCTGTTTTTGCATTGCTTTCATTTGCCAACATGCCAGGAGCCAACAGCACATGTTTCATTTTATTGATTGAGTTCACTTTCCAAGGGCTACAAGGAGAACTTACACTCACTAACAATGAAAACCTTTGTTTATTGTTCAATGTACAAGTGTTGCATGAAGAATTGAAGCTCATCTTCAGAAACTCCCCAACCTTGTCCACACTTTTCTTTTTTGGATTGGGAAAATTTCCACGAAATGGTAGCCCAATATTGCTGGGTGCCACCATTGATGTCATAACTAGATAATTAAGAACTGCAAAGTTGAAATTAATTTCAAGGCTGAATTGAGCACTTGTATTGTAAAATTGATATTTGCTTAATTGCTTCTAGCCATAGCTCTAATTTATACATTCCCTGGACCGGACCGTGTCTACTGATGAAGGGTGTCACTAATTAATTAAGATTGTTCAAACGATGAAGAATAAATGTTGAATAACGTAGACAAAAGCATTTCGGTCCTGTCGTTTGTCACGTTTGATTTTATTTTGTTTTTCTTTAAATGTGTATCAGTTTGGAGAAACAGCAATGTCGTGAGCCACATGTTTTGGTTACTGTTTCGTAAATATATTTCAATGAACTAGTTGAGTTAGAAGTTTTAAATTTCTCCAAAAAAAGTTTAAAAAAATTACCGTAGTCAAATAATTTAGTTCTTTAAATATTGCGATCAAGATTTAATTCCTGAATGCATATATATAAAAAAATATTTAAAAAATCATGATGCCTCTAACAATGGATAAATTTAGATGAATTTAATAAATAATTATTAAAAAATTAATATATGTAAATTCATATTTTATGTCATTGTACGATCATATATTGTTTTTAGTTAAATTTAATAGATGATTAATAAAAAAACTTATATATATAAATTTATATCCCATGTCATTATACAACATATATTTTTTTTAAAATGTTATTATTATCAATTTAAAATTATATAATAACTTTAAAAGCCAATTTTATAAAATAAATAAGTTGAAACCTAAGTCTTTTTTTAGAAAATATTATGTAACCCTATTTTTAAGACTTAATCATACTAAAAGTTGAAACAATGATTGGCAATGTCCTACTTTGAAATAAATCCAAGCAACAAAAATTTGAAATTTTTTTTTAATTATAAAATAGTTTTTATAAATGTACAAAAAGTTATACAAGAACTATTTTTATTTCTTTTTCACATCATACAAAATAAAACAAGTTGATTTCATTCAATATTGAAATACATATATGCAGCAAAACAATTAATTTTGGTAAGATATAATAGAGACTTGCTTAAAGTGGCTATATTAAATAAGATGTAATTTTTGAGCCAAATGAATGAAGTATTTATTTATTATTAGGACAAGAGCCAATACGAATGGTACGTTTTTTGCGAATTTTTTAAAAAAATTCTTGGTAATGGTAACATTTTTTAATAGAGAAATGAATAATTTTTTCTACAATTCTTTTTATTAAACACCCAACAAAAGGGTTAACTTTTATTCAAAACTTTCAACAAAAATATTTCAGAATTATACCATTAATTTTGCAACATTGTCAAATTTTTAGAAAATTTAAAATACATTATCAAATTTAATTTCAAATTTTTAAAATAAAATTAAAAATAAATTGATCTAACTCTCTAACTACTATTGAAAAAAGGAATAAAGAGAAATCTCATAACTGTAAAATACCACAATCCAATCTAAAACTTTGAACCAATAGATGCACACTGTTAAAAAAGAAAGTAAAGAAAAATCTCATAATTATAGAATGACGCAATATATTTAACACTTCAAAATAATAGGTGTATAGAAATTATTTTTTTTTATAAACTCCTAATTAGTCCATATTTCGTCATATATTGGACCTTCTCCTTTATTCATACTTAATTTTAACAATAAAAATATTTTTTTAACTACAACAATAATTTTTAAAAAAATATCAAAAATGAAATAAAAAATTAATACATGTTTAATTTTTATTTAGTCATGTAATAAATATATTTAAACTCTTTAAAATTAGTAGGCATGGTAATAATTACAAAAAATATTATGTTAAAAATATAAAATTTACATTAATAGACTTTATATTTAAAAAAAATATTTGAATATTAATTAGGAAATATCAACGAGGTCTTAAACAAATTTTTGTTTTCTAGGAAAAAAAAGTAGTCTCCTATTTTACGTGACATTTATTTCTTGATGAATGCTACTTTCTTTCTTATTTATAAAAAAATATTTAATTTATAAAAATTAATAAAAAATAGTTATATATTATAATTTTTATTTTAAAAAATATTTATAATATTAATTAATGTATTAATAATTAAATATATTTATTTATATGAATAAAAAGTGAATAGTTTTGTTAATTCAAATTTATAATAAATAAAAATATAAAAGTTTAATAATTAATATATTTAAAAATAATTTTTTTATAATTGAAATAAAAATTATTAATAATTATTTTTTATAAATAGAATCTGAAATATTACATGACATCAGTGCATCAGATTCCAATGTTAGAGGAGATGAGTATGACGTCCCAAATGGAAAGAAACAAATTCGGAGAGAGGTGGGGGAGGAGATATTCTTAAATCAAGAACATAATATATAAATGTTTTATAAGATAATATTAGTCATATAAATATTGAAAAATATTATCATTTATTTTATTATTGGAATATCATACTGCTATTGTGGGAAAATTTTAAAAGAGATAGAAGTATATATAAGGTAAAAATATCTTAGAATATTCAAAAAATAATACCCGGCATGATAATTAATGCATCAATTATTTTAAAGTGACATGCTTCCTAAATTTTGCTTAGGTCATATCGAAATTCTTCCTAATATATCGAGCATCATTTGTGATGAGACTAATAACTTAATGACCGAACTTCTCACATGCCAAATTACCAGAAGTGGTGTCGTGGATCATGACTATCTCGTCGTCAATTAAATTCTAAAAGAGAAAAAGAAGAATGTTTAATAATTTAAATTTAAAAGAAATGCAATTAATTATAATTTCAAATTACTATTTATTTTGTTACACATAATAATTTTTTTTTAAAACAAAAACAGAAAAAGTTTTAAACAATCAAAGTATTTTTTTTTATAGGCAAAACATATTATTAGAAAGAGCTTAAGGAGAACTTAAAATCTATATACATAGAGAAAAAAATTAACACTTATATAAAAAAATAAAAAGAAAAAAATATACTCATGCTAAGTTAAGGTAGATGCAATTTCATATGTTCAAATACCTATCAGCTATCAACTAACAAAATATTTTCTCCCTTATTAACAAGTTATAATCATTTCTAAGACTTCAGAATAATAGAGTCTAGGACTTCTCTTTTATTTAAAATACCATTAGAAAACATCATTATATTTCTATGTAACTATAAAGATCATGTTGTACTTACCAATACAATTAATAAATATATCTCTTCTTTTTTACTATAACCAACAACAACTCAAGCAAGTAAGTGAATTGATAAATCTAAAGGCAAAACCAACAAGAATTCAAGCTAATGCGCAGTAAAGTACTAGATTCGAGATAAAAATAAACATGTTAAAAATAAATCACTTGAAAGTTTCTCCAAATCATGACAGAAACAACAAGTTATATCATCAATTTGAACACCACGATTAATCAATAGACCTTTACAAGGAAGTGCATTCAACAGCAATTGCCAAAAAAATACTAGACACTTAAGCGAGACCTTCCCTCTTCATAGCCATTATAAGACGTCCATTGTACATTAATCTACATTATTATGACCACTAAAAAATTCAAATAGTCATGAATACACAGATTGCATTGAATAACAATATGAGGAATCCTCTATTCATACTCATTTATCTTCTTGTAGCACCTTAATAAAAACTCCATCAACAAGCTCCAACAAAAGATTAATACTTGAGATATCATGTTGAAAGAGTCATCTGCGCCAACTAACATCCTAAACACACCTTGTGTCATCATGAAAATTATTCTCCAATATACAAGATTCAATATTCTTCACCACCGCAAACAATCGCAGAAATGTCTCACACATCTCACCCGCCTACCCACTTATCTCTCCAAAAAAAAGGTGTGCAAACCTACACCCACACTCTTATCTAACTTCTCATCTAGCCATGAATTTTCTTAATGAATAACCTCCAACAAATTACGCCACCACAAAGAACATATGTTATGTATTGTTGGATGCTGAATAGAAGAAGCTAATATGTCATACCTAGCTTCCAAACACCCTCACTCATAATGAATTAGAACAATTAATACCTCGCTACAACTATTTACCAAGAAACGCCTAATTACACCATTGCACATTCCTAATGCTCAAGCTACCATTCTTCCATGATCTACAAATCGTTTTCCATTTCACCCATGAGATTTTAGATCCATTCCTAACACCCTTCCATAAAAAATTAAAGGTACCTTACCTCCAATCGATAAATACATATGCTTCCATGATGCTAACATTTTTTTAAGAGCCTTTAACATACCCTTCCATGCACTAGGCTTCCTTAGGTTAACACCTAATTGTAATCCGAGATACTTTAATAGGAATCTACTAATCTTACAACGTAGGAACTCCGCAACCAAGCTTTCAAAATTATCGCCAATATTAATCCCCAATACACAACTTTTATGAAAGTTAATTTTCATACCTGATATTAACTCAAAGCTATGAAATACTGCTTTTAAAGTCCATAAATTTTGAACCAAAATCTCTCTCATAATTAATGTGTCATCAACAAATTGTAGCATTGAAGTATCTGGTCCCCCAACCTCAATCTTCATACTAAAGAATAACTCATAGGCCATTGCCTTCCGCATAAGAACTCCTAACCTCTCCGTTGCCATAAATAAAATAAAAGGGGGCAAGAGATCCTTTATTTTAGACCTCGTCTAATATGAATCTCTGATGTAAGACAAACATTAATCAAAGCTAATAAGTTATCCCCACACACACAAACCTCCATCTAATTGACCTATTTTTCTAAAAATCCAAAGTTGCGAAATATGATAAACAATCAAAACGTTACTTCATGATAAACAACTAGTTAATATTATGAATCGATGATAATTCTTATTTATTTAAATTATAAATATTCTGACCTTGTTAATTTTACATTAAAAAGATAATAGATAATTTTGAGATGTGTTATTAGTAAAAATTTAATCTGACTTAGTAAAGCATGGTTTAGAAAATAATTAAAAATACATATAAACAAAAGGTTTTGAAAAACAAAAAAATTTATAATATTAAAAAGCGTTAACTTAAATTCATTAATCTTAATATAGTTTCTTTTATGATATTTTTTATCTTTTAGAAATTTTATCTTTTTTTCTTTTAGTTTTTTTTAATGGTTGAGAGAAAAAAAAATTTCTAATTAGTTCAGAGCATGTAATCTTAATTTTAATAACTACATTTTTATTTACATAAAAAAGAGAAAAAAAAATTTAATTACATTTATAAGTATACTTCTCCTGTCTCTATTTTTTATAATTAACTATTATCATATTAAATCAAGTCAAGTATTAAGTTACATGACTTATTTAACAAAATTATTAAAATGATCTAATAGGGAAGAACAAGGTTAACTAAGTAAAGTTTAAATTTCAAAACAGTAAGCCAAGTTCTTTAAAAGCAAGACAAACAGGGGGAAGTAACAAAGGGAAAGGGTTTTATTTTGTCAAGGAAGGTTTTTCTGTCCAAAATTATCAATGAAGATGAAGGGAAAGGATTAAATGGGGGATAACTAAATTAGAGTTGGGCCAAGAACGACAGTTTTTTGTTTTTGTCCAAATAAGAATCACATGTATGAGTTTCGTGGATCAAATAAATTGGACTTTGAAAAGAGGTTTGCAACTCAACTTTAGATACACAACTAAAATATGACCCAAAATAGAAAATGTTGTGATTAAACGTTAAATTTCTTGGTAAACTCAATATTTTTAGTGGGTTGGGTTTGTCGATTGACAGTGGCAATGGTTGTTGCAGAGTTTTGGAACGATCCCGTGGACTTTCTGGCGAAGAGGCTTCTTTATAACTCTGTGAAACTCAATCATAATAACTAGTGTTTTTCAGCTTTATCAATGCCATTAATCAATACCAAACACAAAGCAAGTGCAAGTCCCTTATTTGCGGTTTCTCCGATCTCCATAGTCTCAATCCACGACAACGACAGCACCCCACAAGAGATAGCAAATCTCAACCTCAACCATTGCCTCATTCATCACATCAGGATCCATCCCACACCTCCGATCGACACCTGTCACCGACCTCCATGCGTTAAAATGTGTGCACACGTGGCTTGTGCTTTGGGCAAGGAACCTTCTAAATATTTGACCACTTGTTATTAATAGGATTAAAATTAAAATATTCAACAATGAAGTTTTGTAATAATATTTTTTTCATTACCTCACTTATTTTACTAATTTTCTTTTTATTTTTTAGGTTATAATAAAAATTATAGAATTTTTTATTAATAATTTAATTTTTAAACATGTAATACATCTACACTCAATTAAATTTAATATATCACAATTTTGTAATTTTTTGGGAAATATAGAGATCTAAACTGATGTCGAAGTAACATTGTCATGGTATTAATTATTAAACATTAAAAATAAGATTAGATATTTAGATGAGATGATGTGTCGTGTGGACGGTGCTAGATTGAACATGACACGTTTAAGGCAGAATCCGATACTCACTCTTCTCTTCCCACGTGGCGCCTCTGTCCCCCTTCCCTCTAACTAAATGATCATCACACTTCACAAACATCTTATATTTTATGAGAGACCCCTCTTTCTTTCTTAGCTATAAACTTTTCTCACTTCACTTGTTCGATCACTTTCTTTTCACTCTGGCTGTTTTATCCGACCTCAACGTCACTTTACTCTTTCAATTGGCTTCTCTCTTTCTATTTCTTCATCTTCTTTTCGATACGCTTTTCTTTAATCCTAATACCTCGTTTGTCCTTCAGCTCATTAGACAGATAGATTCACTTGCAGAAACTGACTAACATAACATACATATAAACATAATACAAACATATGGGCAAGTTTTGGACCTTGATTACCCAGCTTCATTCCATTGCTGGGTATGCTTCCAGGACTTACGTTATTATTATTGTTTTCGTTCTGATTCCTATAATTCATTCGTCTATTTATCTTTATATAGATTGAATTACTAATCCATAAATTGTGTGTATAAATTTTTTGCAGGCCGGTTTTGACGTTATTGTACCCTTTGTAAGTACCAGTGTTAATTCACAACCCAACATTTTATCTATACTTTTTTCGCTGTTCTGGAGTCTAGTTAGAGAAAGACATAAACTTAAGTAAATGAGTATAGTAATTTGTTATTTAATTATTATTACTCTTATAGGTATGCTTCGGTGGTAGCAATAGAGAGCCCCTCCAAGTTGGATGACGAGCAATGGCTAGCTTATTGGATCATCTATTCCTTCCTCACCCTTGCTGAAATGGTTCTTGAACCCATTTTAGAGTGGTGAGTTTGAGCTTAATTTTCATGATTGAACCGTAGATATATGTCTGTTAATGACTTAACTTATCTTTTGTCTGTGTTATAAAATCAATCGGCTTTTGGATTCTTTATTTAAGTAAATTGATCACTATTTTGTAACTTTATGAGAAAGCTGTTGAAAAAATAACTAATTCGCTCAAAATAATCTAATTCAAACGGAAAGTGCTTAATTAATATTTATATGGATGTTATATTCGTACCTAGCAATTGTTAATTAATATAGTAGGAATGATTGAAAATAAATTTTTAAAATTTTCAGGATTCCAATTTGGTACGATGTAAAGCTATTGATGGTGGCATGGTTGGTGTTGCCACAGTTCAAAGGGGCTGCTTATATGTATGAAAGGTTCGTGAGAGAGCAATTAAGAAAACATGCAACGGAGAGGGAGCATCACCAGGTCCACCGCAACCAACAACAAAGCAAAAAGCCTCCCAACGGGGGCAAGACCAAGAAGAAGTTCGTGGAGTTCATCACACCCAAGAAAGTGAGTTAATTAACTTACTATTTTCATTTGATCAAATTGAAATGAACTAATTAATTAAATGGGATTTAGATTAATCAAATTCTAACGTAAATTGCGGTTGTGATTTTGCTGTAATGGTTCGAGAACAGGGGGATCAGGAGGCGTATTGAGTTCTTTTAACTGCCCTCTGAATCAGCTTCACTTTTAATTTGGTTTATTGGTTTTAATTAATGTTTTGTGTATGTGTATATATGTATCTAAGTACCACCTTGTTGTATAATCATCTCATATCGTGTACGTAAAGTGATCTCTTTCTTCAGTCATCTTCCACATATGTGCTGTAATTTCAACTTGGCCTCATGCAAAAGTAAAACCAAATTCCATTCTCAGGATATTATATGAACTCCTCCGAACTCTTTAGTATTTTCTTTTAGGAGAATGGGAGTAACACACTTCTTTGAACATCCAATGATTTACAAAATTTTCATAAACAAACCAAACGCATTGTTAGCAAGAGCAGCGTACCTATTAGCATGTCTCCATCGTTCACTAGATTGAGTCACGTCATTGTGTTATGAGTCATTGCCCAAACATGGTCCATATAGTATACGTGGTCCACTCACCAAGCCACATATCTCCACATGCTTTGCCATTCGCCACTACGTCGGACCATCTACGTACTACTACTAGTATCAATGTATCATCATTTAGCGATCAAGCTAAAAGGTTAATTAGCTAAATAAAAGATGTGTGAGAAAATTAACTAGTAAACTAGCTAATAAAAGTAATCGTATTTAGTTACTTGATTATAAGTTAAAATTTGGTACCTATATGTTTCAAATTTTTAATTAAATGAATAAAATAATATAAATTTATATTGTAGTTTTTATTATTATATATTATAAAAATGGTATCTGATGAGAGAAAGAGTGTTATGGCTCTAAACATAGGAGAAATTTTAATAAAATAATGAGAATTAAAAAAAAAAAGATAAGAACTTATAAGTTTAAACTATACATAAAGTAACATTTCCAAAACGAAAAAAGAAACTAAAAGCTAGTTAAATTAAATTTCTAAGATGAGCAAATAAGCTAGAAATAACTTATTTTTGTTATCAAACCCACTTCAGGCGCCACGTCTCTTGCACACATGTTACCACTCATCACTGCATTAAGCCATCTACTCTTATCGTCGTTCATCATTAACTATTTCTCCATTACTTGTCTAACTGATTTGAAGAGTTGGTTCTAATTTCATTTTCAGTTTTGATAGACATACTTTAAGTTATATCACTTTATCAAACAATAGTCTTAGCTTAAAATCTTCAAGTATAGTGGTGATTCGATTTAATCTGTTTGGGCCAATCGATTTAGATACTAAGTTAGGCTAATTAAATTTCATAATACAAATTTGATAGTCCAATCGTACCCATTCCAGATTGTGGGCCAAAAGGCCTGCATTCTTTTTCTTTCTTTTTTTTCTTAACTTTCTTTTCTTTGAAAAATTACTTCACTAGTATATTAATAGTGTAACAATTAACAAACACACGACACCTATATAAAATTATTAATTTGTTAGGGTAAAAAAATTAATAAATTTTTTTATTTTATTCTCTCATTATCGAAATTTATATAATACACTATTTATCAATATTTAATTTTTAATATATTTTTAACTTGGTTAAGCTTATTACAAAATATTTTTTACCATTCAATTTTTTATTATTTTTTAACATGAATATCTAATCTAAATAAAATCATATAAATAAATAAATACTGAAAATTGTTAAAAATAAAATATTTGAACTAGCAAATCAACCTAAACTACATGACTCACATGGATTAATCAATTTTTCATAATTAAACTGGACTAACATAAATTCAAAATCTAACTCACACGTACATTATGTATAAGGTTATTCAAGTTTGACTTAACTGTCTCAATACCTCTACCTAAAAGTGGCAATTTTTTTTTTATAAATTTGACAATTGTTGCATCGATTATTTCATAATTTGCACGTGGCCTCAAGTTTGGAGATTTTTAACCCATGAAAATGGGGATATGACTAATAAAAATATTTCTTGAAGTCTACGTTTTACTAGGAATTTATTATAAAATTATTAAAATAACCTTATATATATATATACACTAAAATTAAAATTAAAATTATCTTTGTTTTTAGTTATATAAATTGAATACTAAAATAATTAAAAGAATCCACAAAACTCTAATCATATTGTCAAATTATAAAACCAAGGACAAAAATGAAGATAGAAAAAAATATAAAGACAAAAATTGAATACGATAACAAGAAGTATTGAAGTAGGATATTACTCTCCATCCCTACCCCTTTTAGATTAAGAATATGATAACAAAACTGGTCCTACTAGCATCTTCAGTACACCGGTAGAAGATTTTATTGGCTAATTTAGTGAATGGCGACAGAATACAATTGAAACTGAATGTGTTTCTAGTTAAACATTAGCATAACCATTGAAACAGTTCAATTTCATTATTTCTATTTATTTTACGTGTTATGTGATAATTCGCAGGAACAACTTCTTGAATTGTTAGTTCTAATTGATTGATTATTTTTCACAAGTTAATTATCAATCAAGATATGAATCGACCTGAATCTATTTCAACAATTATATACAAGATTTAATTCCTTTTAAAATTAAAAGATATAAAAAATGAAAAGGAAGTTATTTTTTAATTGATCCAGCTATTAATTAAAAATTACATATTATTTAAATTATTGATGTTAAATCTTATTGAAAAATTAAGAATAATAAAAATATAATTAAATAATTTTTTAACGTATTTCAAAAATGTAAAATATCAACTTTAATGTCCGTAAATAAATAAAAAAGTCTGTAGAAATATTTATACGATGAAAATTTTTAATTTAATCATAGATTTCACTACAAATATTATTTTTTATTAACAAACCAAAAGTTGTCAATCGCTAAGATAGTTTTGTTAGCATAATTTTTGTTTAACAAATAATAAATTATTAAAGTCTAGACTAACAAAAAAATGTTAAACAAAAATTACACTAACAAAGGTTATTATAATACTCAATAATTTTTATCTGTTTAAATAATTTTAAAATTACACTAACAGAGCACCAATGCGTGTCCATCAATATCGAATGATGTATCCTGATCAGATACACTAAGCAGAATAAATAATATTTTGCGTTATATGACAGTATGCAAACGATTAGATAATTTATTTTTCATGTATATAATTCTCAAAACACTTTGTGGTGGCAAAAAGGCGTGGGTTGATAGACCATTTCCTACACTCATGACTGACAAAGAAACCAACAAATATTTATCAACATATTATACATTAGCATACGTATTATAGTGGCATGTTAATTATATTCTTTGTTCCCATATTTTTTACATAATTGCATTCTTATTATACATAGCTAACCTGCGTTGGTGTTTTCGTACCATTTGTGGCTCCAATTATTGGTATCAGGGCTTGCTTATTAAAGTATGATCACTAATGGAGACATTAACCAAATGCAAATGAGGGAGTGACACCGTCTCATAAGCTAGGCGACTGTACATTGGTTGCCGGGTTTGGCACATAAAACCAAAAATAGAAAAACTACACGTGGAAAACATAAGAGCATTATCATAGCTATAACGTTAACTTATAAGCTCGTTATATCCTATTGGTCTTCTTTCACAACTCAATAAGCATAAGCATTCAACAATAAACTGAAGTGGGATAGGTCTATGGTCTATCACTTAAGCCAATATAGTAGAAGCTTCTATATTACAGAATCTGTAAACTCCTCATCACATTATTGGGTACCTTTCGTTTCAATATATACCGTATCTTTCAATTAATTTATGTACTCCATTGAATCATTGGAAAATAATCTTGGTTAGATTTTTTTTTTTTAAGAAATATATCATTATATTCAAACTCTGTTATACAAATGCAATTTCAAATTAATTAACAAATGTTATATTGCGATTATTTTTAAGCCAATTCTCTCCCTTAATAGGTAAGATATTAAAACTCTTATTAAGACATAATTAAGCGTTAAAGTGAGACTTTATTTTAAAAATATATACATAAAGGATAAAACTTATGTATATTACTATAAGAGCACATATTTAGATAATTAAAAATTTCAAATGACGTCGCGTCTAAATAATTAAATTCATACGTGTTCTATAATTAAATTAATTATTATCTCATAATTGATTAAATTAAACTTATGTTTAGATCAATTTTCATATACTCAGTCTTTTTTATTAACGCATGAATTTTATTTACGATTGCAAGTGTTCAATTAACGTTTCAGATTGCATTAAAAATTATTTGAATTAAATTTATTTTATTTAAGGTATTAAAAAATTAATTTTACTGTGTATGGTTAATATTTTTTTATTTATTATAAGGATGTGAAAGGGGCCCTAACCTCTTAAACACGTGGATTTGAGTTTGATCCTTTGTATAAAAAAAGATATTGTTAGGAGATATTCTCATTTGACATCATAGCAACATTGAGAATTTAATCTTTCACCTTTAAACTGAGAAGATGATTTACAGAATATTTTTTAAAAATTACTTAAAAAGAATAATTAACTCAAATCCAAACATACTTATTTTGAATGGAATTTTAATTAATACGTACAACTAGAAGCATATATAAGCATTTAAAAAAAAAACAACCGATATTTTGAAAGTGTCTCGATAAAAGATTTCATATTATCAAATTTACCGATTTAATTGCCAATAATTAAACACACGAATGAATTTTATTTTTTGTGAAATTCAATGGTCGTTAGTTTTCTTAATAAAACAATATTTGAATAATTTTTTAAAATATCAAGTACTTAAAAATAACTTTTTATTTGTATTAAACCTCTTAAACATGTGCTCTTAAGTTTTATGTCAATATTTATCTGTACAAAAACAAAATACTGTTACTGGATATTCTAATGTCTATTTTGACACTTTACAACAATAATTTGGGGGATTGGTTTTTCACTTACCAAATGAAAAACCCTCTCCCAAACATACCCTTAGAAAAAACCACAAAAATAATGTAATTCCCAGGTCAAATAATTACTACAAAATCAAATCAAATTCACTTAAATCCAAGCATTTTGGTTTGAGTGGATATTTAAATATACACAACTAAAAGCATAAGCATTTTAAAATAAAAACAATTAATATTTTAGAAGTATCTCGATAAAAGATTTCATTTATAAACCACATTAATTAT